TCATAAAGCTATATTCTTCTCTCAATTTCACCTCACTACTACCTAGTACCTACCACTACTAGGTTTTTTTTTTCTTTTCCCTACCTACTACTACTCCGAATTGTAGGCATACGTGGAACCCCGTAGCAGCCAGAACCGTGTTCACGAGAGAACATGCGGGGGCTGCTCCCGACCTGCAGGTGGGCGATACCCCCTAAGGGTGGTGGTCCCCCCTGCAGGTAGCATCAGGGACCATGCCAACAGGACCACTCCCTGTGCCTTCCCTCAGGTGGTGGTCCCCTCCCCTACGAGCATCAGCAGACTCTGCTCAATGTCGATCGGGGAATCCTGTGGTCTAGAATGTTCCGATGCGTTTGAAATGTTGGCGGATGGCGAGCGGTGCAACTGCCGGTAGGCCCCAAGTAGGGAGTTACGTTCGGCGGAACGAGGTAGGGCTCCCGGTATCACAGATATAAATAACATGGGTAACCCCTTTAATCATATATCGTATAAGTATATATCGTCACAAATAGAACTGCCCGGTAAACCGTAGGCAGAGAGAGAGAAGAGGACAACAAACGAGGGGCTGTATATGTATATAATCATCAGTGTCACAGCAGCTGTCCTTTGCATGCGGCGCTTTGCTGGTAGGTGGTGTTTCACTTCACCGTCGAGTTCTACGTCGAGCCGCCGTCTATCCGTCAGGCGCTCGCTTTGCATGCACGCATGCATGCATGCATGCATGCATGATCGGCAGTGAGCTAACGTGGTATGTGAGTAGTCCGAGCTATTATCCTTCGGCGGCCGAGTGACCCGTGTCAAGTGAGTACGTATCAACTCATCGAACCGAGTGACACGTGTCAAGTGAGTACGTATCACCTCATCGAGCGTGAGTTGCATGTTATGCTTGCAGAAATGGTGGGGTAGAAATAGCAGCCACCGTTGCGATCCATCGTTTATTTGCATGTGGGGCTCTGTGTAACCTGCTCAAATGAGTTGACCTTCCAGTCCTCGTAATAAAACCGGTGCAAATCCCGGTGCAAATCTCATCAGTGCGACGTGCGTACTATACTCGTTATAGTGAAAGTGAATCGTAATTGCAAACAAACAATTGTAATTATAAATTTACCAATCCGAGTCAGACTCAGTCAGTGAGTGATCGCTGAGTCGCTGACTAATTGAATTATCATTGATCGTCAACAGGAATAGTATAGATAGATAGATAGATAGATAGATAGATAGATAAAGATGATGATGATGAGTCTTGGCCGCCGCGACTGTTCGGCGAATCATCACGGACGGTAGGTCAACCCTCTTTTTTTTTTTTTTTTTTTTTTTGGACGGTAGTCAACGCTGTACTCAGCTACAGTCAAAGGAGAGAGGCAGCGTCGGCAGCATCGACAGCACCGGCCACCGGCCACCGGCCACGTCATCATCATCATCATCTGATTCATAAGTGTCGGTAATCTAGATAATATAGTATAGATACAGGCCGAGCTAGAGCAATTATACATAGAGAACATACAGTTACAGATGGAGCTTGAAATTCTAATTGTAGATATAGACAGAGCTCATGCAGACACAGCTGCTATCAATTGCTGCTGCTGCTGCTGCTGCAGCAAGGCCGCGATGAAGTTCAACTTGAAGGAGCGGTGTTCCTCTTATGACGCATAGCATTAACCGTTTATTAACCGTGAGGTAACTAGCATAGAGTTATCGCGGCAACTACAGTCTACAGCAGCATGGAGTTACTGCGGCGAATTTCAAGGAAGTAAAGAAAAATTAATTATCGCAGCAAAGTTGCACACTCGCGGCAGCTGTCCTTAGCGAGGCTAGAGCCTGGATCGTCTTCATCATCAGATCATTCAATCATCATTGGTCACTTGTCTATCTCGCCCTCGTCTTGAAAGGTCTGCACGAGCCTGCACGAGCCTGCACGGGGTTCCCCCCTCTTTTCCTACTTTCTCCTCCTCCTCCTCCTCTTCTTCCTCCCAAAGCCGGTGAGCGAAACCATAACCCTGAGTCCTAACTAGGGGTTCAAAGCAGGCGCGGTGTTCCTTGCACTATTTTTGGTCGCAGGTTTGTGACCCTACCTGGTCAGTGGACGTTGGGGTAGGCAGCTGTAGGCTTAACGGATCGCATAGTGAGAGCGAAAGAGAGAAAGAGGGGATAGGACGAGAGAGAGAGAGAGAGAGAGAGAGAGAGAGAGAGAGAGAGAGAGAGAGAGAGAGAGAGAGAGAGAGAGAGAGAGAGAGGATGGTTGTGAGGGGTGATGACGAAGCGGAGGAAGGGAGGGAGGAGGGAGTGCCAGGAGTGGTGATAGAGGAGGGGGAGGAAAAGAAGGAGGAGGAGGCTGAGGAGGTAAAGATGGAGGAGGCGGAGGACGATGCGGATATATCCCAAGAGGATGGCTGGGCTGTGATCAGCAGTTTCTTCGACGGGAAAGGATTGGTCCGTCAGCAGCTTGACTCATTCAACGAGTTTGTCCAGAACACTATGCAGGAAATCGTCGACGAATCCGGGAAGATCGAGCTGACAGCTGAATCTCAGCATATTCCCGGTCACCATGTCGATCCGACGGCGGAGGTCAAGTACAAGGTCGAGTTCGGTCAAATATACCTCAGCAAGCCGATGATGACGGAGTCGGATGGAGAGACGTCAACGTTGTTTCCAAAGGAGTCTAGGCTGCGCAATCTGACGTACGCCGCTCCATTATACGTTGACGTCACGCAAACAATCACCCAGAAATTAGTACCAGGAAAGAGTGCCAAAGGAGGAGGAGGAGGAGGAGGAGGAGAAGATGGATTGGTTGGAGGGGAGGAGGAAGAGGTGGAAAAGGATGTACATAGCAAAGTGTTCGTAGGCAAAGTGCCGATAATGCTGCGATCGGCGTACTGCAGCTTGTACGGACAGTCGGAGAAGGAGTTGACCCAGCTAGGAGAATGTCCGTACGATCAGGGGGGGTACTTCGTGATCAACGGCAGCGAGAAGGTGTTGATTGCGCAAGAGAAGATGAGCAGCAACCACGTGTACGTGTTCAAGAAGGCTCAGCCGAGCAAGTACGCTTACGTGGCGGAGGTTCGATCGATGGCCGAGGGTCAGAACAGACCTGCAAGCTCGATGTTCGTCCGTATGTTGACCAAGAGCGGAGGGGAGAGAGGAGGTGGTGGTGGTGGTGGTGGTGTTGAAGGACCTGTCATGAGGGCTTCCCTCCCTTATATACGACAAGATATACCGGTTGTCGTCGTTTTCAGAGCTCTGGGGTTAGTTGCAGACAAGGACATATTGGAACATATACTGTACGACAACGTCGTTGACCCAGCGATGACGGAGCTGCTGCGGCCTTCGTTGGAAGACGCCTTCGTGATTCAAAACCAGATGGTGGCGTTGGATTTCATCGCCAAGCGGGGCTCCACCGTGGGTGCAACGAGGGAGAAGAGGGTTCGATACGCAAAGGAGATCCTTCAGAAAGAGCTGCTGCCACACATCGGGGTCGGCGAGTTCTGCGAGACCCGAAAGGCGTTCTATTTCGGCTATGTCATCTACCGGCTGCTGCTGTGTGCGCTGGGTCGGAGGGGAGAAGATAGCCGCGATCACTACGGCAACAAGAGAGTGGACCTGGCTGGGCAGCTGCTGTCCGGACTGTTCCGACAGCTGTTTCGCAAGCTGACAAAAGACGTCAGAACGTACCTGCAGAAGTGCGTTGACCAACAGAAAGAAGTCAACCTCGCGTACGCCATCAAGGCGAAGACGATCACCAGCGGCCTCAAGTACTCCCTAGCAACTGGGAATTGGGGAGGCAGTCCATCAGGAGGAGGAGGTGGTGCGGCTCGAGCTGGGGTATCTCAGGTGCTGAACAGATTGACTTTTGCTTCCGCTCTGTCTCATCTCCGGCGGGTTAACTCTCCGATCGGACGAGAGGGGAAGCTGGCGAAGCCCCGGCAGCTGCATAACACTCACTGGGGGATCATCTGCCCCGCGGAGACCCCCGAGGGCGCGGCCTGCGGACTGGTCAAGAACTTAGCGTTGACTGCGTGCATCTCCGTAGGGTCACCTGCCGCTCCCATCCTGGAGTTCCTGGAGGAATGGACCACGGAGAATCTGGAGGAGATCTCCCCCGCCGCGGTAGTCAAGTCCACCAAGATCTTCGTCAACGGAAATTGGGTGGGCATCCATCGGGATCCCGACCTGTTAGTCCGAACGCTGAGGCAGCTGCGCCGGCAGGTGGACCTGCCAACAGAGGTGGGAGTGGTGCGAGACATCCAGCTAGGGGAGCTGCGACTGTACACAGACGCCGGAAGATGCAGCCGGCCGCTGTTTATTGTGGAGAACCAGCGGCTGGTGATAAGGAAGCGCCATGTGAAAGCTCTGCAGCACAGAGAAGTGACCCAGTTCGGATGGGAGGAGTTGATCTCCCGAGGTTTTATAGAGTACGTGGACACGGAGGAGGAAGAGACCACCGTGATTGCCATGACGCTTGCTGACTTGGTTAACGCCCACAAGGCTGCCAACGATGCCTACGCTATCTACACCCATTGCGAGATCCACCCCTCTCTCATTCTTGGCGTTTGCGGGTCCATCATTCCCTTCCCCGATCACAATCAATCTCCTAGAAACACCTATCAGTCTGCTATGGGCAAGCAAGCGATGGGCATTTACGTGACCAATTACCAGTTAAGGATGGACACGCTGGCGTATGTGTTGTATTACCCTCAGAAGCCACTGGTCACCACACGTGCTATGGATCACCTGCACTTCCGCGAGCTGCCTGCTGGACAGAACGCTGTGGTGGCGATCGCATGCTACTCGGGGTACAATCAAGAAGACTCGGTTATCATGAACCAATCGTCCATAGATCGAGGGTTCTTTAGGTCCATCTTCTATCGGTCCTATAGAGACGAAGAGAGGAAGCAAGGAAGCCTGATCAAAGAGGAATTCGAAAAACCGGACAAGGAGTGCACCCTTGGGCTGCGACACGGGTCGTACGCCAAGCTAGACGACGATGGACTGGTGTTCCCAGGCCTGAGAGTTTCTGGCGATGACGTCATCATAGGCAAGACTGTGCCTTTACCGTCTCCTTCCCCCGAGGATTTGGAGATGAACAGTGATGCCGTTCTCAGAAGCTGCAGCGATAGCGGAATGGGGTCCAGCCATGTGTCCAGGTTCCAGAAGAAGGACTCTAGCACCGTCCTTAGACACAGCGAGAACGGGATGATCGACCAAGTCCTCCTCACTACCAACGATGAGGGCCTCAGGTTTGTCAAATTGAGGGTTCGATCCGTGCGGATTCCACAGATAGGAGACAAGTTCAGCTCACGACATGGACAGAAGGGCACCGTCGGGATGACTTACACCCAAGAGGACATGCCCTGGACTTGTGAGGGTATAACTCCCGATATCATTGTCAATCCCCATGCAATCCCCAGCCGGATGACCATTGGTCAGCTGATCGAGTGCATCATGGGTAAGGTGGCCACCCACGTTGGGAGAGAGGGAGATGCCACTCCCTTCACAGATGTGACTGTAGATAACATTAGCAAAGTTCTGCACAAGTGCCAGTATCAGATGAGAGGGTACGAAGTGATGTACAATGGGCACACAGGGAGGAGGTTGAGCGCACACATTTTTCTGGGGCCAACGTACTACCAGAGATTGAAGCACATGGTCGACGACAAGATCCATTCGAGAGGGAGGGGGCCCGTGCAGCTGTTGACCCGGCAGCCGGCCGAAGGACGGTCGAGAGAGGGAGGACTCCGATTTGGAGAGATGGAAAGGGACTGTATGATTGCCCATGGAGCGGCCGCCTTCTTGAAAGAACGGCTGTTAGATCAAAGTGATGCGTACAGGGTGCATGTTTGCAAAATCTGTGGTATGCTCGTCATAGCCAACCTGAAGAAGAAGACGCTGGAGTGTAGAGGATGCAAGAACAAGACTGATATCGTGCAAGTGCACATCCCGTACGCCTGCAAGCTGCTGTTTCAGGAGCTGGTCTCCATGGCCATATCCCCAAGGATGTTTACGGACGCGTGAGGATGGCACCTCGGCTCCCAGCGGGCCAGCGCCCTGCCCTTCAAGTTTCCTTTCCTCTGGGCCTTTAGGCCTCTGGCTCGGTTGGTCAAGATAACGACCGATTGGGGAATGGTTTCAGGCGAACTGCAGCTGCGGGATAAAAGGAGGAGAAGGAGACGAAGCTGCGCTGAGAGGATCATGTGTGGAAATGGGGGGAAGGGAAACGGCACAGCAGCAGGAGGAGGAGGAGCAGCAGCAGCAGCAGGAGGAGGAGGAGGTGGTGGTGGTTTGGAGGTGACTGTCTGTTCATGAATCATGGGTGAAGAGCATCTGAAGATTCTGAACAAACTCAGATTGCCATCTAAGGTAGAAAGATAGACCATCACCGAAGTGAATGGTTGCCTCACCGTGTTCCATCTGGCTTCCGGTACGACGTAAGGGTATGCTGTAGGCTGTAGCTGTGTTACATGTGTACCTACTGGAAGGCATCTGAACCAACCCAGACCGCCAGATACAGTAGAAAAAGTGGAGTGCATTCATCAAACTGAGGACCCAGAGAAGCGGCATGAAAGGGAGACACACACACACACACACACACACACACACACACACACACACACACACACAGACACTCAGACAGAGAGAGAGAGAGAGA